TCTTTCCAGATTTGGAATCAGCATTAAATTTCAATTCGGAAAATCGAAGTTTTAAGAAAAGCTTAAATCAATTTCCAAAAGTAGGCAGTCACCTTAACAGAACAGCTATTCAAATGAAGCTTTAAAAACTTGGATTTTGCTGGTAAAAGAGGGAGAACTCTACAATCTACATCATTTACCGAGTACGTCCTCGTGTTATTTTAATATCTTATTGATGATGCTTATTCTTATCTTGACATAGGTTGGCAAGACCGTCTTCTGTTATGCAACATTCCTTACTAACAACGAAGTTAATAAACTATCGTATATGGTGCGTACTTCGTACACAATTGAAATTAMGTTTTATACTCATGTGACAGCTTTAAATTAATCAGATCTCATCATCATTTTTTAAAGGTTGTATCCCGGGGACAAATCGTGCACCATAATGTCTTAGTTAATAAGTTTGGTTTGGGTGCAACGATAAGTTTTCAAATTACAAGTATGATGTCACCATCTGCTCGCTTGGTTGCGTATTACATATCATCAGGAGGAGAAGTGATTGCTGATTCTATCTTATTGGAAGTTGACGRTTCTTTACCAAACCAGGTTTGTTTGTGGGTACGCGTGTGGGTGTCCCGATCTTTTTTGCTATGTTTATGCAGTAATGATGCAGTAAAATTCTGAGTTTGTGTATTRAGATTTTTTTAAACCCAATTTTTTTTAAACCAATTTGGACTATTTTAGATTCAAATCATCGAAGATAAGGAAACCAAAGACCCCAGTTTATCATGGAGACCAGGAGAACCGTATATTATTAAAGTACTGGGAAGAAAAGGCACTCGCGTGGGGATTCTAGGGGTTGACAAAAGTGTCTACCTGTTACGGAATGACAGTAGTTTAACTCCAAAGCGTGTAAGTATAAAACCGTTTGTTCCAAATGCCGATCCACTAATATCTCTGCAGTTTGCCGTCGCTGACGCCTCTAGTATATATTTATTGTTTTAGCTTTACTTTCATTTTATATTTTAATGTATTTTTGTCTAAATGTAGTTTATATCTATGAACTCTGTTTATATTTACAAGGGCGGATCCAGGGTTTTTTGAAGGGGGGGTCTCAGGGGTAAATTTTGTGGGCAAAGGAATCCCAGTCGCATTTTTACCACAGGAGGCCCATTTGACCTCAGGAATGACAGGGGGGTCGCCCTTGATGTACATGTATCTTGTCTCAGGCTGAGCCTGTGCAATGTTACTAAATAAAATTAAAAAATATAATAAATATAATAAAAAAAGTAAACAACCGCTGCATATAAATGAATGAATTTGAATTTTGCTAAGCTAGTAATGTTTTAATACCTAAAGRTGTTTGACGAGCTAGAGAATCTCGATCTTGGATGCGGAGTTGGAAGTGGCAAAGATACGCAAGGAATTTTTAAGGTAATCCTTCAATACCAAACAWCAATTAAGCGTTTATTTTAACCTGTAACGATTCATATTCTGATTTAACAATTAATCCCGCAGTAATTTTAAGGAATACTTACTTACATACAGTTATATTGTTTTACAAACAGAATGCTGGCATTGCTGTTATTGCTCCATCACTCGCAACCCCTGGACGTCAAGGTAGTACCAGCTAGTCTATGAGGTTTTCATCATTCAATTACTTTTCCTTTTACTCATTCATGGCCAGAAATTTCGAATCACTATGGGAGGAGCTTAATACGTCATCATCAAGTTACTAACGTCAATCACTATATTTTAATCCCTGTRTTCTTATTGGCCYAATCACTTTGCTCGATCTGCATTTTTCGAAATGGCAAAGAGAAAAATGAGAGAAAAATGATTCTATAGCGTGCTAAACAGTTTATYAGCAGMAAATATATTGCTATTATTGAAGTAAGGACTGAAGGGAATATTTTATGAGGTAGAGAGACTGATAAGTTGCCGTGGTGGATATGCAAGATAATAATATGAGTTATTCCATAGCTTATATAATGCTTTYATAATGCATATTTTTTCAGCAGCTTTAATGTTCTTTGTCACTTTGTCCACACGAAAACGATTGCGATCGTAAACTCGTATTTTTGTAATAGACGCATCTGTCCGTTCACACGTAAACGGTCATCGTCTACGAATCGTTTTCACCCGTCAACACGAAAACGATAAAGCGATGTCATACAGCAATCGCGCATGCGCTTGTAATTTTGAGCCTGCAATCTTTGCTTCAGCGTCTCGTTGTCAAGTGTTAGAGCCCATGTTGTCAAGTCACGTTCGTTTGTTGTGATCGAGAGAGAAGGAAAATGTCGACGTCTACTGGCAAAAACATCRAAAGAAAAAATTGATAAAAACAAAACAAACTCCTTTGTTTGGACTGACGACGAAGTACAGCTTCTTTTAGAAGTCACAAACGACCATGTCTGGTCCAGAATCTTCGCTCTTTGTTCMCATGTCTAAATCTAAGTCGCTTTACTCGAGTTATAGTAGTTTTAGTGGAACACAACAATCTTGAGAGGTTTAGTCTTCTGCTGTAGCTTTACTGGATATCAAGTATTGAAAGATTTARCTGAATGCTTGCAATTATGCAAGAAATAAAATTAAGCATCACGCAGTTCAAAACGCGTGTGTACGCCATCTTGGAAACGTACTGGATAAAGGAGACCGGAGCTGACTTGTGACGTTTACGAAAATATACGTTTACGGCTGTCCACACGAAGAAACGTAAACGGCGTTTTCAAAAATATCCACTTTGGAGAGCGTTTTTAAAAATATACGATTACGTGTGGACGGAAGGCTTAAACGCATAAAAAAATATGTGGACGGGGCCTTAGGAAGAAAATTTTGTTGATCTGCGAAAAGATAACCAGGGGCTTTGAGATTTAGARCAATCGGACATTAGGTTTTTTGAAAGTTGCAACTGATTGTATTGATTCCGCTTTTTTGTTACCAGGCTGGTATCTGCCAYATGCTAAGAACGCCTTGAACAACGGAGTATTGATATTCGAAGAAATGGCTTAAAGATTTAGTAAAATTTTCGGGCTTAATTTTCCTTTGCGTTTTCAGAAGGATGAAGCCTAAAAGTGCTTTATGAAGGATAGCTTTTAAGCTAAAAAGTTGAAGATCGTAAAACCTAAAGAAATCTTTTAATTTTTGGATATTGTAGAAAATGTGGACAAGACACTGAACTGTCGGAAGCATACGAAGGGATTTACTGCTCAATATAAATAAATACTCTACGATGAACACAGGTTTGTGCCAAATTTTTCAAAATGGTAGTCTGCATGTTTTGTCTTAAGAACGACACTTATAGTGCTCTTAARTCGAATCAAGAATAGTTTTTCTTTCTACGAAACAACAGTTATATCGCAATTCCATACCGTGTCTTGCAAAATGACAAGCATATGAGGAGTTTAAGATCTTGAGCATCGAAAAAAAACTACRAAAYCTGTGAGTATCTATATATTTTCTGCATTTATTCATAACCTTGTCTTTAAAGCTCTAGTGAACCTACTGCGCAGGACCATTCGGAATTTCTGGCCATGTATTCCCTGCTACGTTCATTTCTTTAAGCTTCTTCAGCATGTTTTCCTAATTTACCTTTTCAATAATATGGAACGGGGAATGTGAAATCTCTTTTTCTTTAATTCTTTGTTATAGATTTCATATGTGATGACCCTCTTCCGAGACAAAAAAGGTCTGTCATCCAAAGTAAGTCATATACTGCTGACATATAGTTATAGTTATAGTTACATCTGCTATAGTGATAAATTACTATTTGTACTTGCGTTGCCCGCAATCCGCATTTTTTTTTTTTTACCCTAAACCAATTCAAAGTGATTACGAGGCACGTAATTCATACATCTCATTGGCCGAGAGGTGGGTAACGCCCACTTAGGGCATACCCTCATATCTTTTGGTAAAGGAGAGGCTCCCTGTTTTAATGATGTATTTTCGGTTTTTCATAATAAGATRTAACGGCCTCATTAGAAAGAAGATGGCGGCTATTAACGAGCATTTTCCCCGTCACAAACCAAATATTATCTGCTGCTGCCCATGGATAGCATTCGTTTAAACACCAAGACCATATCACTGTCGTCTCCATCGTCATGATGACGAC